GGCGGGGCCGGGGCGGGGCCGGAGCAGCTGGGCCCTGACTGCGCTGCCCCCGCCGGCAGGGGGCTGCATGCTGGAGGTGGAGGAAGTGCTGGTGTCGGAGAGCCCCGCGGCTGCAGCCGCTGTCCTGGCCGAGGACCCGCACACCGTTTTGGTGGAGTTCTCGTCGATGGTGGCGGACACCCAGGAGTACATCATTGAGGTGAGGGTGGGACAGGTGGGACAGGAGGAGCCACGGTGGGTTCAAGGGCAGCCAGCACTGACCTCCGCCCCTGTGCTCAGGCCACCGCGGATGACGCAGAGACCAGTGAAGCCACGGAGATCATTGAGGGCACCCAGACGGAGGTGAGGGGCTGGCTGAGGGTGAGGAGGGGCACCCGCTCCCTGGCGAGGCCCGGGGCTGAGCGCCCGCCCCGCGCCCACCTGCCCGCACCTGCCCGCAGGTGGACAGCCACATCATGAAGGTGGTGCAGCAGATCGTGCACCAGGCTGGCGCAGGGCACCAGATCATCGTACAGAACATGACCGTGGACCAGCAGGCTGGGCTGGGCGCCGAGGCCGCTGCCGACACCATCACCATCGCCACCCCTGAGAGCCTGACGGAGCAGGTGGCCATGACGCTGGCCTCGGCCATCAGTGAGGGCACTGTGCTGACGGCTCGGGCAGGCGCCCATGGCGCTGAGCAGGCCACCGTGACCATGGTGTCGTCAGAGGACATCGAGATCCTGGAGCACGCGGGCGAGCTGGTCATCGCCTCGCCAGAGGGCCAGATCGAGGTGCAGACGGTCATCGTGTAGCAGGGCCGCCAGCTGGGCGGGGCCCGGGTGCAGAGGGGACGGCACAGCGGCCGGGCGTCCAGGAGGATGTCGGGGTGTAAATACAGTTTTTGTTGCTTTACAATAAAACATGAAAAACCCACAGCTTGTGAATGTTGAGGCAGTGGTGTCCCCGGGGTGTCAGCCACCGCCCTGGCAGGTTCCCCACCTGCCACACTTGCCTGCCCAGAGCCAGCTCGCAGCCTCGCGTGCCAGCCTCCCCGCCCAGGAATCCAGCCCGCCTGGCAGTAGCGTGTGGGTGTGCTGGCATCCTGACAAGCATCTTCCTGCCTGCCCTGCCCTCCCAGGGTTCTGAGGCCTCCTGAGGTGGGTGTAGGGGTGCTGCTCCCCAGCTGCCAACCCCAGCCTTTGGTGGGGCTGGGCCTGAGCCCAGACCCCCAGAGCCTGCAGGGTGGGCTGAGCAGGTCCCAGAGAGCTCAGTTCGGCTTTCCGCCCGCCCCAGGTGAGGACGGAGTAGGAGGAGCAGCTGGAAGGAGGGGGCCAGGAAGGGGGCTGGCCTCTCCTGTTTCTGCCTTAGTTTCCCCGGGGGGAATGCAGTTCAAGGAAGCAGATTCTAGGTGACCTAGTTGCTGGGGTGGGGAGGCGGAGGACAAGGCAATGCCCGGTGGTGGGCGTGGCTGATCCTTCTCCCTGAGTCCTGACACCGCCCCTGGGGGCTGGCAGGGCCTTCCTGTTCCTTGGTCCTCAGACAGGCCTGGCTGAGATCTTTTGACTCCTTGCCCTCGGGGTCTCCGTGAAAATGGGAACCAGGAGCTCTGGCGCCCAGCTCTGCCAAGGGGGCGGGACCTAGCGCAGCCTGGCCCCTCCCTGGGCCAGGGCATCAAGTAGCCCCCGGGGCCCTGTGCCAGAGCTACTGCAGGACCGGAGCCTGCGCGGTTCCTCCAGTGTGACAGACCCGCCATCAGCCTGGATCACGGACCCCTAGTCGGATCCAGACCCCGAGCCTTTGGCACAGCCCCATTTACATCCCAGGTGAGTGTCGGGCCGGGCTGGAGCTGGGGCTGGGCGAGAACGGGGTGCCTCTCTTCGGGCCTCGGTTTCCCCTCAGAGTGGGAGGATGGCCATGGACCGAGGGCGCAGCGCATCACCCTGGGGAGCCAGCGAGAGCGCAGGTGGAGGACGCGCCTTTGCGCGGGCCAGCATCGGGTCGGCAGGCTAGTCCGGGTCCCCGTGTCCCCCACCCTGGGCAGGAGCGTGGGTCGGTGTGTGCGGCTGCTGTCGCGCTCACCGGACCTGTCTGCTCCTTCCAGTCCGCCCGCTCCGCTCCATGGGCGGGCCCCGGGCCCTGCTGGCCGCGCTCTGGGCGCTGGGGGTCGCCGGGGCCGCGGAGCTGCGCATCGGAGCCTTCAACATCCAAAGCTTCGGCGACCGCAAGGTGTCGGACCCGGCCCGCGGCAGAGTCATCGCGCAGGTGAGGCCGGGGAACTAGGGCAGGGCGATGAGCGGGGTCGCAGCCAGGCCCGCTGGGTGGGGGTGGGGGGAGCAGGGGGAAGCCCTTCCGAGGAACCTGCCGCGCGTGACACGCCCTGCCGGCCCCTCCCCCAGATCCTGGCTGGCTATGACATCATGCTGGTGCAGGAGGTTCGAGACCTGGACCTGAGCGCCGTGTCCGCGCTTATGGAGCAGATCAACAGGTGCGGCGGGCGGGGCCCCGCGTCGCGACCCCCCTAGTCGGGTCCCCAGGCGTCGGCCCGGTGCCTTGACCCCGGGCCTGCCTGGCCGGTGTCTCCGCAGCGTGTCCGAGCACAAGTACAGCTTCGTGAGCAGCGAGCCCCTGGGTCGCGACCACTACAAAGAAATGTACCTGTTCGTGTACAGGTGAGGGAGCGGGGCCGCGGGGAGGGAGCGCGTGGGGCCAAATGGGGCCACCCCAGTGCTCCCACCGTCCTCTGCCCCAGGGACGACGCGGTGGTTGTCGTGGATACGTATCACTACCCGGACCCGGAGGACGCCTTCAGCCGCGAGCCTTTCGTGGTCAAATTCTCAGCCCCCGGCTCAGGTGAGGCCGACCCCGCCGCTCCCCTCCCGGCAAGCGCCTCGGCTCCCTGCCGGCCCCGCCTCTCCCGGTAGACCCTTCCCTCCCCTGCCGGCCCCACCCCTCCTCGCAGACCCCGCCCCGGCGTCTGACCGCCCCTCCGACGCTGCCTGCAGCTGCCGAGGAGTTCGTGCTGGTCCCACTGCACGCGGCGCCGCACGACGCGGTGGCGGAGATCGACGCTCTCTACGACGTGTACCTGGACGTGATCGACAAGTGGGGCACCGATGTAAGCCCCCGCCCCGGCCCGTCCAGTCTGGGGTCCCGGGCAGGCGCGGCCTGAGCGTCTGGCCAGTCGGAGGTGTGGAGTTCCGCGACCGCTCGGAGGGAGGGCGGCTCGTTGGAGGACCCTGACAGGCTCCGCGCTCCCGCAGGACATCCTGTTCCTGGGCGACTTCAACGCCGACTGCAGCTACGTGCGGGCGCAGGACTGGGCCTCCATCCGTCTGCGCAGCAGCGAGATCTTCAAGTGGCTCATCCCAGACAGTGTCGACACCACGGTGGGCAACTCGGACTGCGCCTACGACCGCATCGTGGCCTGCGGCGCGCGGCTGCGGAGGAGCCTGAAGCCGCAGTCGGCCGCTGTGGACGACTTCCAGGGGGAATTCGGCCTGGACCAGGGTCAGGTAAGTGCTGGGGCGGCGGGAGGGGTGGGGGGGTGGTGGGGCGCCCGGTCCTGGGGTTCTGGGGCTACCCGGGCACAGGCAGGTGAGGCCGGCTCCCTGCACCCAGGGCTGGTCTGGCCAGTGTCCAACCTCAGCTTCCTTGCAGAGGGTTTGCCCTGGCGCCTGGGGCACTCCTGCCTGCTCCAAGGTTTACAGAGGTTCAGTCCCAGCTGAGAATATTCTGGGAAGGTGGGCTTCTGGCTGCTGAGTCTCTGCATCTCCCCCACGTGGGGGCCCACCGCTGGCAGCACCACCAGCAAGCAGGGTGTCTACGGGTGGCTTGCTTGATCAAAAGACCCTTCCCCACAAATGCAGTGGTGGGGTGGGAATGCTGCCCCCCAGGCCCCTGAGGCTCTCCCCACCCTGCATCCGTCCAGGCTCTGACCATCAGTGACCACTTTCCTGTGGAGGTGACCCTCAAGTCCAGCTGACCGCCCGAGGCCTGGCCCGAGGCCTGCAGACTGCGGCCACCAGCGAGTCCACAGGGCAGGGCCAGCTAGGCCTGGGTGCCAGCACCCACTCTTCTGGACAAGTGGCCATGGACACGTTACGAGGCACCTGGAGCCTCAGTTTCCCCATTTGTAAAATGGGACGTGACGCTACCTCAGGACTGTTGTGAAGAGTCCCCCACACAGCCCAGTGTGCACACGCAATAAACGCTGCTCTCAGTGTGGTACAAACACGCCGCTCCCAGCCTCCGCGTCCTTTCTTAGGACTCGACCCTTCTGCGTTTGTGGCTCAGCCTGGCAGCCAGGTGGGTCTGTGGTCCTAGCCCCCTTAGGGGACAGGGACAGCCTGGTCTGCCTATGTCATGTCCTGCTGGGAATGGCCACCCCCAGACCACGCTGGCTCCAGATGGTAGCCTGTCTGGGGGTGCCCCCCGTTCTTTGTGCAAACTGTAACTGCCTCCAAGACCCTGTACTGTAGTGTGAGGTGGGCAGGCCGGTGGGCTCAGTGCTCACAGTCACCAGGCCTGTCTCAGGCACCCGTCCCTGTCCCTGTCAGGGGCCCTGCCCCACCCAACACAGAAGGGAGAGGCCACGGATGCTGCCACTATGCCCCCAGCTGGCTGGGTGCCCTGGGGTATTCAGGGAGCCCTGGGGTCAGTGGGGCTGGACTCCCCTCCCAGCCCAGACAGGCGGGTTGCACCCCTCACCCCCTTCCACGCTGCTGTCCTGTGTAGTCTGTCCCCAGGGGTCCTGGGCTGGGAGGGACTAGCCAGGCACAGGAGGGTGGCCTCAGTCCCTGGGTGAACCACTCGCCCTTCGGTGGGATACAGGAGGTGTGTTCCTGGTTTGTGAAGCATCTCATCTTTGGCGACCAAAGAATCGTTTCAGAAGCAGGATTTGGGGACTGGCTTGAATCGTATGGGAGGAAAAATATTTGTTTCAAGGGTTTGGATAAGTTCTTTTCTTGCAAAAGTTTCCTACAATAAGACCTTGAATACTCGGCATAGAACCCTTTACAACAAGAGATGCTTCTCGTTACCTCTGTGTCCCTAAATTTCCCTGGGTCCCTGTGCACACGCTCCATCCAAATGACCAAAAGCGGCAGCCAGGAGCTTTGGTTGGGGGAGGGCTGGGGGAGTCCCACGTGGATCACCAGGGCCCATGGCCACCTGGCCTCCAACACCAGCAAGCAGGCAGCCCAGAGGTCTGGGAGGGGTACCCCAAGAACTTTATTCACGATTCTGCTTTGGGGGGAGTGCTCAGGGCCCCGCCTGCCCCCCATAATTCCCAGGTTGGGGCATCACAGCCAGGTTGGGGTGTCACCATCCTTCACCACCCTGCCAGGCAGAAAAGGCACTTTTGGGGGTGGTGGGGGCCTCAGGACACTGGGCGACAGAGAACAGGGCCTTCCAGGAAGACGATCAGCAAAACAAACTCAAGTGCCGTTTACACGGAAATATACCTTGTTGAAAGCCATCTGGAGCCAGAGGGCCCGTGGAGGAGTGCCTCTGGCTAAGACCCCACTGGGGCGGCCACACCCTTAACCTTTCTTCTGTCTGAGCTTCTGTAGGTAGGTCTGCAGGGCCCTCTGGATGGAGTCTTGTGAGATGAGGCCGACAAAGCTCTGGATGTCGGCCTCCCTCTGCTTCACCAGCTGGTCCACGGTCGGCTTCCGCATCATAGTCTTTGTCAGCTGCCGAGCATGATCTACAGACAGTGAGGCTGTGTGAAAACCTGCCTCCGGGGGCGGCGGCCTCGTGCTCCACCTTCCCAAGAGCTCACACACAAACTCAGGTAGAAAACTCAGAAGACACGGATCACCAAGGGGACCATGGAAACCACCTGTTTCCGGCAGCCCGCTGACTCCTTCTCAACAGGCAGGATGCTGCTGTAGGGAGTGCCTTCCGAACCTGTTCTCTGCACTGGCTGTTATTACCCAGAACATCCTGCCTGTCAGGAAACGTACTTCGACAACATAATTAGTAGGTGTCCGGTGTTCAGCCACTCATCTGTACAGGAGCCGGCAGACCGGCCGGCCACCTCGTTTTGTACGGTCTGCAGTGGCTTTTCCATTTTTAAATGGTTGAGGAAAAAAATCAAAATCAGAATATTTTGTCATATGTGGGAATTATATGAAATTCGCATTTCAGTGTCCAAGTTTTATTGGCGTACCACCACGCCTATCCATTTACATATTTTCTACGGCTGTTTTCGAGCTACTACGGACAGAGACCATATGCCCCCTCAAAGCCAAAATTCTCCCTGGCTCTTTGCAGAAAAAGTCTGCTGATCCCTGGAGTGTATCATAATCTACTTAACTGGCCTTGTCTCTGTAAACAGACAAGCAGCTGTTTCCACCACCACCAGCTGCTGGTGGGTCCATTCCAACTCGTGTGTCAGAATAGAACTGTGCTCCATAGGGTTTCCAATGGCTGATTTTTCAGAAGTAGATTGCCAGGCCTTTCTTCCTAGTCCATCTTAGTCTGGAGGCTGCTGAAGCCTGTTCAGCATCCCAGCAACACACAAGCCTCCTCCCCTGACGGATGGTGCCTGCACATAATGTCTCCCGCATAGCAGGCGAGAGTTCTACCACGGACCCACCACTGCCCGGCCTCCAATCAGTTGCTGCTGAGTTGACTTTGACTCATGGCAACCCCACGTGTGTCAGGGTTTTCTGTGGCTGATGTTTCAGAAGTAGATCACCAAGCCTTTCTTCTGAGGCACCTCTGGGTGAATTCGAACCTCCAACCTTTTGGTTAGTAGGCAAGCAGCTAACTGTTTGCACCACCCAGGGGCTCCCAGCTGTGCCCAGCCCTCTGCTGTTATGAGCAGTCCTGGCCATTCACAGTGACTTTCTGCCTGCGGACTTCCTGGTCTCCCTAGGCAGTCATGGTGGCGTGGGAGGAGGGCCCCCCCACCATCTGTGCCCGGAGCCCTCCCCTGTGTGCTTCACCTGGGATGGCCAGCCACTGGGCCATGACGGACAGGGCTGCGCTCTGCAACTGCTCCTCCGGAACCACCTGGTCCACTATGCCCACCTGGAGGGCCTTGGCGGGCGGGAACAGCGTTCCCAGCTGCAGGGCCTGCTCCGCGGCGCGGTGCCCAACCGTGTTCACCAGTGTGTCCTTGAACCTGGAAGGCGGACACCACTTGCGTGGGACCCTGGGCAGGGCTGGTTACTGGGGACAAGCCCATGGTCCCATGGCCCCGGTCTCACCAGAAGGGGGCGATGATGCCCAGCTGGGTCTCGTTCAGCCCGATGGTGTACTTGGGGTTGTCAGCCATGACTCGGTAGTCACAGGTCAGGGAAGCCAGACAGCCTCCTGCGGGGCAGGCTCCCTGCAGGAGCAAGCGAGACCACCACGCACTGGGGGTGCAACCCTGCTCCAGGTGGGGCCCCCGGGGCGCCCAGCACCGGCCGCAGGGGCGTGAGCCCTCAGCCGCCCCAGGGGGCTGCACCCACACTGTCTCAAGTGTGCAAGGCTGCCGGCCGCAGGGACAGAAAACTATGCTTTCTGTAACCCCTAACTTAGCGGAGCGATCACTTTCACTCTGGAGCTTCAGTCTGGATGCTAAAGAGCTGAGGGAGCCTTTCACGTCCTGCCCGCTGTGGCCACAGCCATGCCTGCGCCCAGCCCCTCCACAGGCCCCGGGACCTCAGCTCGCCTTGTCCTTGTCTCTTGCACCCGCTGCCCCAGACTGAGACCAGAAGTCGATGTCGGTGGCTCCTGGTCTCCAGGCCGCTGCATCCTGCCTGTGCCACACGCCCTAAGTCCCCTCCTCCCAGATGTCCTCACACCCTCTGGGGATCACCCTGGCCTCCAGTCCCTGGGCCTCCCCTTCCCAGGGAAGGCCACAGAGATATTTCCAAAACATGGCCCCCTCCTTCCCGCGCTGCCCTCTGCCAGGCCAGCCTCGCCCCCGCCCCAGTGAGCCAGTCGCCCCTCAGGCAGCCTGCTTTCGCCACGGTGGTCTGTCATGGAACGTTTACCCATGACTTATGTCTGGGGGTCTCCCTGACTGCCCCCTGCCCTCCTGGGCATGGCTGTGCCCTGACACTCACGTTGATGGCAGCCACCAGCACCTTGCTGGACTGGTAGAGCCGCAGCCACAGCTCCTGCACAGCCTCCCAGTACTTGGCATAGTGGGCTGGGTTCCGCCCGCACATTTCTGTCAGGTCCAGGCCGGCCAAGAAGATGCCAGGGTTTTCCTTGGGGGGTAGGGGACATGATTTACCCTCAAAGGGCCAGGCGAGCCACAGGCCCTGTGCCGGTGGGAGATGGTGCTGCGGGACACAGCGTGGAAGGAGGGGCTGGCTGTGCCCTGGGCCCTGCACAGGTGTGAGCACAGTCCGGAGAAGGGTCAGGAAGGCATACGTGCTCTGCGGATGAGCCAGTCCCAGCAAGGCTACTGGGGGGAAGGGCGGGACCAACTAGGACAGAAGAGGTGCCGGCAGGCAGGACTGAGGGCGCTGGTCACGTGTGCATGGAGTTCTGGGTATCTGGCGAGCACACAGACTGGGGGAAGTGGCCCCAGGCAGTCACATGGGAAAGCCCAGTCACGGCCCCTCCCCTGAATTGAGACCAATGGCGTCAGTGGGGAGGAGGGGGGCCGTCTAGGGAATAGTCTCCTGGCTGCACAGGCCTGGGCTGGGGCCCACAGTGCGTCTGCCCGACCGTCCACCTGTGCCAACAGCAGGCCCTGCCTCACTCTTAGTGTTGACACCTCTGCGTGTGGACCTGGCCTGAGTGATGGCATTACACTTGGGGTCCCCCGGGTCCCCCAGACGTTAGGTGCGCATACGGCTGTGATGACAATGCCGCGGACAGCCTTGTCGTTCTCCAGCTTCTCCAGGCTGATGACCAGCTCCATCAGCATCTCCAGGCTGAGGGCGTTCACGGGAGGATTCCTGAATTTCAGCACAGCGACCCCTAATAGGAAAGTGCAGACGAGACACGCCAAATTCAGCAATGGGAAAGTGCCGCTGTCAGCACTGCCATGGGGAGGGGAGCCCCACGGCCACCGGGGGGAGCCCCACGTCCATGGGGGAGCCACATGGCTGAGTATTCATTTAGAAACTGAGGTGAAGTTCACGTAACATCAAACTAACCATTTTAAAGTGAACAATTCAATGGCATTTAGTGTGTTTACAATGTCTTATAGCCACCACCTCGCTCTAGCTCCAAAATGTTTAACAGCCCAAAAGGAGACCCTGTGCCCATTAAGTAGCCGCTCCCCACCTCCCCTCCCCCAGCCCCTGCTTTTTTTCTCTCTAGATTTCCCAACTCTCAACACTTCGTGTACGTTGAATCACACAGTATTTGTCCTTTCGTGTCTGGCTGATTTCTCTGGGCATAATGTTTTCAAGGTTCCTCCATGTGGTCGCATGAGTCGGAGCTTCCTTCTCCTTTTATGGCTGAATAAATACCCTGTTGTGTAAATATACTACGTTTGGGTTTCTTTCCAGTGACGAAAACGTTTAAAACAAACGAGAACAAGATGATCATAAAAATATTAATTGCAAATAAGATCCTAAAGCTGCCAATGGTCCCCCATCCACTTTAAAAGTGTTGTCTTAAATTGCACGGGTGTCTGGATGTCTGTGATGCAGTCCAGTTAAACTGCCCAAAGGGGAAGTCATGTCGTCAAAATGCCCATGTGACAGCCCCCTTACCCTCTGCAGACCTTCTACCCTAGGGCCTGGCAAGCATTTTCTGTAAAGGGTCAGGGAGTAAATATTTTCAGCTTCACAGGCTATACAATTGCTGTCACAACTACTCATCTCTGCCGCTGTAGTGTGCAAAAGCGATAATAGATGATGTGTGAACAAGCATGGCTGTCTGTCAATAAAACTTTATTTACAAAAATAGGAGGTGGGCCAGATTTGCCCACCCCCGTGGCGCAGTGGGTAAGGTGCTCGGCTGGTAACCGAAAGGCCAGTGGTTTGAACCCACCAGCCACTCTGTGGGAGAAAGATGTGGCAGTCTGCTTCTGTAAAGATTACAGCCTTGGAGACCCTGTGGGGCAGTTCTGCTCTGTCCTGCGGGTCACTAGGAGTTGGAATAGACTGCATGGCAGCGCGTTTTGGTTTTTTCACTCTGTAGCATTTTTGGATTTTTTTTAAAAGGAGAAAGTTGTCAGATGCCTGTTGGTGAATGCTAACTGTCATGTTTACACAGAGACTCTGTCTCTGAACCCAGCATGTTGACAACGAAGGTAATAGCCGGAACTCTCTGCTCAGCTCCATGGGGCCCGGCAGCCTCCAGCAGAGAGAGGGATCCAGAAGGTTTTCTTTCCTCCCCACAGAGCAGGGCAGTGCATAGACTCCATTAAGCTTTTGTTGAGACAGGAAGGGATAAAAATGAATTTGGATCCTAAAGGGATAGACTCGTTCCCCTCTGTATCCCGCTCAAGGTTTTTCTCCCTCAAATCCGTCGAGAACCACAGTATAAAGACAGAAAAGCTTGGAGAGGACAAGGCCCCTGAGCACAAAAAACAAATCCCGAAGAGGATGCAACCCGTCTCCGGAGACCGTTGAGTCGGCCCCCAACTCATAGGAACCCCATGCCCAATGGAATGAAGTGCTGCCTGGTCCTGTGCCACCCGCATGATCAGCTGTGGATCAGACCGTTGTGATCCAAAGGGTTTTCATGGGCTCATTTTCGAAAGTAGATCACCAGGCCTTTCTTCCTAGCCTGTCTCAGTCTGGAAGCCCCACTGAAACCTGTTCAGCCTCAGAGGAAAACACAACCTCTACAGACAGACAAGTTGTCATCAAAATTAAAATCAACCCTACAACCTGATTTAATGCCGTCAGCCCTGTCATTCCGTTCTGGGCAAAGGTTGAGCATCTCTTTGTCCTCTGCCCCACATGGAGGGGACACCAGCAAAGGTTGTGTCCCCCGAATCTGGGGTCTGACCTCTTGTATTTTTGTTATTGTTTTGTTATTGATGAAGGTTTACAGAACAAACTAGCTTCTCATTAAACAATTAGTACACATATTGTTTTGTGACATTGGTTACCAACCCCACATGTCAACACTCTCCCTTCTCCACCTTGGGTTCCCTATTACCAGCTTTCCTGTCCCCTCCTGCCTTCTAGTCCTTGTCCCTGGGCTGGTGTGCCCCTTTAGTCTGGTTTTGTTTTATGGGCCTGTCTAATCTTTGGCTGAAGGGTGAACCTCAGGAGTGACTTCATTACTGAGCTAAAAGGGTGTCCAGGGGCCATACTCTCGGGGTTTCTCCAGTCTCTGTCAGGCCAGTAAGTCTGGTCTTTTTTTGTGAGTTAGAATTTTGTTGTACATTTTTCTCCAGCTCTGTCCGGGACCCTCTGTTGTGATCCCTGTGAGAGCAGTCAGTGGTGGTAGCCGGGCACCACCTAGTTGTACTGGACTCAGTCTGGTGGAGGCCGTGGTAGTTGTGGTCCATTAGGGTCTGACCTCTTCGGAAAAGATGGTTAGTGGACTTTGTTATAGTTGTTTTTCCTTCAAGATGTCACCAGCTTCTCCTTGAGTCTGTTGGATGTTGTATTTCATCGGTGTGCTGAATTCCTCTCTGCTGTTCTTTTTTCTCAGGCAGCATGTCCTCTGTCATTGTGGGAGAAGGAAGTGGCCTCAGCTTCTTCACTTGAGGGTTGAGTAAAGACTTGTGTTTTGGGGTTGTGCTGTGACTAACGTCCAAGGACCAGATGTGCAAGGAGAAGCTCTAATGGGCGCAGCCTGGGGTGCTCAGGTGTACGCTCATCGAAGGATAAAACAGTAAAAGCCGGTTGCTGTGGAGTCGATTCTGACTCATGGTGACCCCATGTGTGTCAGAGTAGAACTGTGCTCCGCAGGGTTTCAGTGGCTGATTTCTCAGTAGATCACCAGGGCTTTCTTCTGAGGCGCCTCTGGTTGGACTCGAACCTCCAACCTTTCGGTAGGAGTGAGTGCGTTAACCATTTGCACCACCCAGGGACACCTGTTTAAGGACAGAAGTTAAAAATATCGAGGCCAAATATTCTTAGAAGCTCCTCTAGGTCTGTCATTCATTCTGCCAGCAGCAGAGTGCCCCCAAGTGGCCAGCACGGGAAAAACAGGAGGGACAGGGCCAGCCCTCAGGGACATAGCAGCTGCTGGCTCAAGTCACCTGTTCTGGCTTTCTGTCCCAAGGGCAGAACCCAAGGGCTTCAGAGACACCACCATTTGTTTAACAAGCACGTCCCTGATGACCTCGGAAGCCTCTGGGTGATCAGCGCAAACCACTCCCCAGGAATGAGGACGGAGTCTTGAAGGCCAGTGGACTCTTTTGGAACCTCTCACTTATCAGGAAGAGGCCGTGATTAACTGGCTGGGTGTATATACCGTTACGTGTAAGAAACGAACAATCAAAACTTCCAGAAACGAGATCCCCTAACTGCATTTAGAGGGTGTCATAGATTGAATCGTGTCCCCCAAAAATATGTGCATCAGTTTGGCTAGGCCATGATTCCCAGTGTTGCGTGACTGTCCACCACTTTGTCATCTGATGTGATTTTCCTGTGTATTGTAAATCCTATCTCTATGATGTTAATGGGATGGGATTAGTGGCAGTTACGCTGATGAAGCAGGACTCAATCTACAAGATTAGATTTTGTTTTAAACCAATCTCTTTTGAGATATAAAGAGAGAAGCGAGCAGAGAGACATGGGGACATCATACCACCAAGAAAGCAGCGCTGTGAGCAGAGCACGTCCTTTGGACTCGGGATTCCTGTGCGGAGAAGCTCCTAGACCAAGGGAAGATTGATGACAAGGACCTTCCTCCAGAGGCTACAGAGAGAGAAAGCCTTCCCCTGGAGCTGGCATCCCGAATTCGGACTTCTACCCTACTAGACCGTGAGAGAATAAACTTCTCTTTGTTAAAGCCATCCTCCTGTGGTATTTCTGTTATAGCAGCACTAGATGACAAAGACAGAGAGGAAGTTTCAGTAATGTACCTGAAGTCTGGTGGACACTGTTCCTTTATTATTCTGGGCATAGAGGAGCCTCCTGGGGCAAAGTCCAGAAATCACTGGGGGAAAGGTAAGGAGGCCAGCAGTCAGCATGAGTCACCTCAAAGGAATCTGGATGAAGCTGGACACCATGAGGTGAGTGGCCGGTGGGCACCAAATAGATGCTTCATGAATGGGGTGTCGAGCTGAATCTAAAATCAGCTTAATGACGGCACTTTAATAAAATCATTTTTAAGGCACTTCATTTACTGTCATCATCCCAGCCTCCAGATGCTTTAAGATGCTAACTGGATCTTAGCATTTCCATTTCACAACATAGAACTTTTCTCAGGGAGTAGGGACAGAACCACCCTACAGAGCACAGTTCTACTCTGACACACATGGGATCACCATGAGCTGGAATTGTCTCCACAGCAACTGGTTTGGTTTGGTTTTTTTAGGGACAGAACTAGTAGGCCCGGTTTTCTGACCCCAAACTCTACTTTCTACCGCACTAAGCCACTGACGAGCCACTCACCTGTCTATCTGATGTACTGTGGTGGCTAGTGCGTTACTGTAGTACTGGAAGCTGTGTCACCAGTATTTCAAAACACCAACAAGGTTACCCATGGCGGACACGTTTCAGTGGAGCTTCCAGACTAAGACAAACTAGGAAGAAGGACCTGGAGATCTACTTCTGAAAATTAGCCTATGAAAACCCTATGGATCAAAACAAAATACTGTCCGACAGAGTGCTGGAAAGTGAGTCCTTAGGTTGGAAGGCACTCAAAATACAGTGGCTGCACCAATGGACCCGAGCATGCCAACGATCACAAAGATGGTGCAAGACTAGGCAATGTTTTGCTCTACTGTACATGTAAGACAATAGTCTCCAGGCTGAGGAAAATTCTACTGCCTCACGCAGCTTGCTTGGCACGCCCCGTAACTTTACATTAAAATCCTGGTTCCTTTGCTTGGCACACCATGGAACCTTGGTGGCACAGTAGTTAAGAGCTTGGCTGCTAACCAAACAGTCTGCAGTTTGAATCCACCAGCCGCTCCTTGGAAACTCCATGGGGCAGTTCTACTCTGTCTTAGAGGGTCCCTATGAATCAGAATCGACTCGACAGCAACGGGTTTTTCATTTGGCATGCCCTATAGCTTTACATTAAATTCCTGGCTCAACTCTCCTTAAACGCTGCCCAAAACTAGAGGAAATTGGTGGAAACCAGTTTAGGTGCCATGCTGACATTAGGATAACCTTTTAGACCTCATACATAGTAACTTCTCTGCCTCTGGGTGGAGTTTAACCGCCATTTTCTGAACATGCGATGCATGAAGTTATATGTAAACCCCACTGTGCTTGCGTAGTATGATTAAAAATGTTGCTGATGTAACTTGTATGAATTTCTAATTTGTACATCCCTTAAAAGTAACATTTCCCTTTGCTCTCGCTGAGCAGTCTTGGCAGCAGCAGCCCTGACTGTTCCTTTCCTTGCACAACAAAATAAAGGTACCTTTCCCCACTCTTCCACCTCAGTCTCTCGTTTACTGGCTGAGACGAATCTCGCTGAGTAGAACCTGGGGTTTCCACCGGACAACACACAGGCCAACCAGACAGCAACTAACAGTATCGAGCCATGACAGTCAGCGAATTGGGACTTGGTGGGGTGGGGAAGCAGTCTGATAGCAGTGTGGAAGCCACGTGTGGTGTGGGGCGGGACAGGGGATGTTAGAGGAAGGCTGAGGCTGCAGCCCTGTTTGAGGAGTATGGCGACCCCCACCAGCCCACAGCAGGGCCCCTATCTTGAAAGGCTGAGCCCCAGAGCTGGGAGACCTGGGGAAGCATCTCCTCAGGGCCAGTTCTAGAGTCCTCCCGGCTGGGGAAAGCAGTTTATCTTCAACAAGCAGTTTATCTTCAACTGTCCAGTTTTAAGACTTAAAAGTTTGAAGATCTGTTCTGATGAGGCGGTGAGGTTAACAGGGCTTCCTCCTCTGTGGCCTCTGCCGCTGATGGATAAAACACCATGGGCTCTGTGCCACATTAGAGTCAGAAAACTGAAACCATTTTATTCCAAACTATGTCCAATTATTTTCTATTTTCAATTTAATAGTCTAAAGGGTCCCATTCCCAAACTTTTCTTTAATACAATAATTTATTTATAAAGAACTGTTTTAGAAACAAAGAAACTCAGAAGAAAAAAATGATTAAAGTATCCCTTCTCGTAGATAAGGCAACTAATGCCCAGTATACCTCAAAATCCTTTACCAAAGGAGACAGCTTGATAAATTCTAGTTCAGGCTTGGGTTTTTTTTTTTTGGTGTGTGTATGTGTGTATATGTTACTTTTTCTTCTTTTTCTTTTCATTTGCTTCCACCTTAAGCTTAAGTTCCTCAGCTGTAAGTGTTCCCAGTTTCTTATTCTTTGCTTTCTTAATCTTTTCTTTGATGGCAGCCACATCAATCTGAGTTTCAACAGAAGCTTCCTTGGGTTTCACAACTGGTTTTTCTTTAGGTGGAATAAAAGCTTTCTCTCTTTCCTCTTGCCTCTTACTGAGCTTCCGCTTGTTTAGCCTTTATTGCTTCCATTTTCTGTCGCTTCTTCTGACTTGCCTTCAAAAAGTATTCGCCACTAGCCAATTCTTTATCAATCTGACTTTCTGGCTGTGGTGGTGGGAATGGTGTATATTCTCTCTTAACAGTTTTCTTCTTCGGTTCCTTGCGTTTGTTCACATTTTTGTGTTTGAACTGTGGCAAAAATCTTGCCCAACTTTGTGATCTTAATTCAGAATCTTTCGCCAATTCTTGTTTAATCATTAAGGTTTTAACGTTATATATTGGATGAATATTTTTCATAGTATCTAGGAATACTTTCCAAACTTCTTTTAAGCCGCCGAAGGGTCCAATGGCTGATGTCGTGTTTCCCTGAACCGTAATGTAACAGCTTGTTAACAGTTCCAATGCCTTCAACGTAGATCCTTTGGGATGAATAAGCCGTTGTCTTCTTTTTACAAATCTTTATTTCGTACTAAAGAACCTATTTTAATGATGTCACATGCAACATCATCCTGAAGAATTCGTACTGCCTGCTCAGATGAAACACTCCTTGCTAAAAGTTTTATTAACTCTCTGGCCCTAATGATGATATATGGATGAAATGTCTTCTTCGTTGTACAAACAGTCACGCTGCCCTCAATCAGGTCCAAGGCTGCATTAACATGATGTTCATTCAAGGCTTTCTGCACCAATGGCCAGCATTCTCTCAGGTAAGCCTCTCTATATTTTGGAAACAAAGTTGCAAAACTGCTCTCCTCCAAGCGGCCTCTCCGATTGTCCTCTTTGGAAAAGGCTAGTTCTTTCCAACCATCAGGAACAGTGAGGAGTTCTTAGTTACCGTTTTCTGCTTACGAAACTGGTACATTTAACGAGGAAGACGCCATCTTAACCCCATCCCCAAACTTTAAAAACAGAAATATTTTTATCTTCATAATGAACTGGGAAACCAACCAACCAACCATGCCAGCAGTTATCACACCTGTGTGATGACCATTAATTTTAAATGCAAGGGAACTAACCTGAAAACAGAGCTCTGGGTCTGGCGCCAGGTGAGTTCTACCACCCGGGCAGGATGCACGTTTTACCTTTATCCCCCTTGGCAGGAAACCCTGGTGGCCCGTGGTTAAGAGCTACAGCTGCAAACCAAAAGGTCGGCGGTTCAAATCCACCAGGCCCTCCTTGGAAACCCTATGGGGCTGTTATACTTTGTCCTATAGGGTCGCTATGAGTCGGAATTGTCTCGACGGCAACGGGTTTGGTTTTTCTTTAAAGGCAGGAAATCGGTGCCCGGCCACCTGCCAGTATCGCTCCAAACCAACCTCTGAAACCCGGGGCGCTCGCCCCCTTACCTGCCGCTGGGCCCGCCTCCACCAGCACCCGGTGGCTCATGGCGCGCCGCGCGCCCTCCCCGCCGCCTGTGGTCGCCCTTCCGAGCGCCGCGCTCCGGAGCCGGGCCCCTGAGGACGGCACACGGCCGGTTAGCCCCAGGACCCCCAGACCCCGCTCCTCACCACCCCGTGCCCCCTTGCACGCTGACTTTGGCCCCTCGTCCCCGCCATGTCCCCCG